GGATTAGTCATTTGATGGTACCACTCATAGGTACCGTCATACCACTTTCTACTCGTGGAATTGGATATATATATATATTTTTTTTTATTCAAATCGAACCTATAATTATATCAATTAAATTAATTATCGATCATTACAAATAAAAATCTAACAGTAATGTCCGATTAAAAAACAAAAGGATACAATTTATTAAAGCTTCTATAAGCTGTTAAAATTATTAGTAAAAATTTCATTTTATTATACTCAACGGGGGTTGTGTAAGAACTAATCTCGGAATTAATATACTCTCTTAATCTTGTAAAGTGAATCTGGAAAGTGAAATCTTACTGTTGAAGATTGAGCTACTCTTTTTTAAGACTGGCTCAATTTTCTCTTCTTAGACTGAGATTCCACTCCAAAGAATTTACGGAGTAGGAGGTTAAAATAAAAGCAACCCTTAAGGCAAAAATTAAGGCGATCTCGTAGATTAAGATTGCCCAATGTGATAGAAAATGTTTAAAAATAATTTTAATCGAGCACGATCGGTCGGCTGAACAATTGAAGGACGACGACAACGTCACAACATTTCGATCTCCGTTTCCGACAGAGATAACGACTTTGAGAACGTCGCGTCGCGACGCGCGACTTTTTCATAAGCGCATGCGAAGTTCGTTCTTAATCCAATGCAATGTTATCACGGTGACAATGAAAGTTGCTGTTGTCCACCGGCATTTCCGCCGTCCATTCTGTTGTTCCATTCCATTCCATTCCATTCTTTCCGTGGATAAATCAATTTCAGAACATAAAAGTAGGTTACTCGACTTGGAGGACAATGCTTTTTACAGATCACTCACTGGCAGCATCCACGATTCCACGCCTACTTCCCGTCCGGCAACTCGTTCCCCTCAATCCTGGGTGACCTGCTGTCGGACGCGATCGGCTGCATCGGCTTCTCGTGGGCGGCCAGCCCGGCTTGCACCGAGCTCGAGACCATCGTGTTGGATTGGTACGCCAAGGCGATCAACCTGCCGACCGAGTTCCTGTCGGAGCAGAAGAGTGGCGGCGGCGTGATCCAGGGTTCAGCCTCCGAGTGTATCCTGGTGACGATGTTGGCGGCACGAACACAGGCCATCAAGAAGCTGAAGGAGAAGGAGCCCAATAAGGAGGACTCGGCGTTTCTACCGAGATTGGTGGCCTACTGTTCCACGGAGTCGCACTCCTGCGTGGAGAAGGCGGCGATGATAAGCCTGGTGAAACTCCGAGTGCTCGAGCCGGATGACAAGGCCGCATTACGTGGTAAACGGCTCGAATCCGCCATCAAGGAGGACGTGGAGAGAGGTCTCGTGCCATTCTACGTGGCCGCCACTCTGGGTACCACCGGTTCTTGCGCTTTCGACAATCTCGTAGAGCTCGGGCCGGTGTGCAAGTTGTTCCCCAATATCTGGCTACACGTGGACGGCGCTTACGCCGGTAACGCTTTCATCTGCCCGGAGATGAGGCCGTTCATGGACGGCATCGAACACGCCGATTCCTTCAATACGAATCCCAACAAATGGTTGCTGGTAAACTTCGACTGCTCCTGTCTGTGGGTACGCAATCGAGTGACGCTCACATCAGCGTTGGTCGTCGATCCGCTTTATCTTCAACACGCTCGCTCGGGGGAGTCGATCGACTATCGTCATTGGGGTATCCCGCTCAGCAGACGATTTCGAGCGTTGAAGCTCTGGTTCGTTATGAGATCGTACGGCATCAGCGGTTTGCAGAAGTACATTAGGAATCACATAAGGCTGGCTAAGAGATTCGAGACGCACATGAAGAAAGACAAGCGCTTCGAGATCTTAAACGATGTACGAGTCGGCCTGGTGTGCTTCCGATTGAAGGAGAGCGAGGAGATGAATCAGGAGTTGCTGGCTAACATCAACGCTTCCGGTCGGTTACACATGATACCAGCTCGAGTGATGGGCAAGTACGTCTTGCGTTTCTGCGTGACAAAAGAGGATGCGACCGAGGACGACATCGATTATGCCCTCAGCGTAATCGAGGAACACGCTACGGAGGTGATGCTGGCTCATTACGAGGGCACAGAGGACGAGTACAGAGCAAAAGGTCCGAAGAGCCCGGCCGCTCTCGACAAGAAACTCGTCCGGAAGTTCAGCTTCACCAGGAGCGTCACCAGAGATGTTTACAAGAGATCCATCTCCAAATCTAGCCTACACGACGGCGCGACACCCATCATGGTCGTCGACGATAACTCGCAAGTCGACGCCATCGACGACGACCGTTTTTGCAATAGCAGGTAGACCAGTTCCGGTTTCCGAACCAAGTTCATATTTTCATGAAATGTAGATATGATAATTGCATTCTCAATTTTGTGTATTTTATTTGTGATAAATCTTATTACATTTTCGTCTTCTTTTTTAAATTGACAGAAGATAAAATAACATTTCTTTTTCATTCGAAACTTTAAAAACTCTGGATCAGTATATAAATATGAGTAAACTGCTTTTAAAAGTAAAATTAACGTATATTTGATTTATTCTTGGAGCTACAAAACCTCTTTTTTTAATTTGATAATTATTGATGAAATATTAATTTCAGATCGTGACGATGTCGATGACGGTCCCCGGCGCCGACTCGGGACGACGTAGATGATAATAAAAAGGGCCCTCGCTACACGGCCGTGTGATGCGAAACTCTGACGGCCCACCGTCGTCAATTTACTGATTCCCGAAGTCGCGTTTGTTGATAAGGACCGACTATCACCGATTAAATCGCCACGTGTTTAGTCAAATTATTCGTCACCGATCAAGTTCGCCACCAAAGACGATCGCTCGTTTATGAACGATGGATCGGTCGTATATATTATCTTGAGCACGAATAATTCTTCGTGGCAACAAAATTGCGTCAATGGCACATGAGATATTGAGCCAAGTTTTGCGATAGAGCGTGAGATTCTTAAGCACACTTTAGACAGTCTGTAATAAGCGACAGAATTTGGCTTAAACAATTCAATTACGAACGCACATGTATAATGCAAAAAAAAAAAAAAAAATTCGAGTAGTATAAGCTTTTTTTATTACGATCGATTTTTTATAATAGGATGAAGATTTTTATTAAAATTATAGATAGAATTTTGCCGCACACAGAAATTCTGTTCCGAGCTACGGACGGTCTAAAGTCTGGGTTTTAGAGGCGGCTGCGCGTATAGTTAACGTAGTCGTTTGATCTATTTTGGTATATACATACATATATATGTGTGTCTGTATAAGCGATAGAGAGAGATGAATCGATGTACATACATAAAACGTGATAATGACTGCCGATGCACGCACGGACTCTAATAGTTTTATATAAAACGCTAGTGAATAATTAAAGTGTATCGATCTCAATAGATTTACAAGTGAATTAATAGCGAACGATTATACTGATCCCAGTGTACACCGGATATATCAGAATTCTATTTTTTTCGCCAATACTGTACCGCAACTGCAAAAAGAGATGCGTCAATGTTGATATATCAACATTACGTTTAGAAGATACTTGAGTTTAGATATGCGAGACAAAATTTCGATTTCAATTAATAGAGAAATAATTAATTAAGACATATGGTTTAATAATAGTGTCGTTATTAATTAAAAATTAATACGTGCAAAATATTAAATATGATACCTGATAATCCATAAAAAAATGCAAATTATAAAAAAAACTTATAATTAAATGAAAAAAACTACTATATCTCTTTTGAAACACTATATAATAAAGAAAAATTATATTAGAATTTCTCAGACACGTGGATATAGTGGACGTTATTCATTAATTCGTATAATTGATCGGAGTACAATTGTACGATGTCGCATCGATCAATAAAAATAGATTTTAATTTAGTTATAGGTAATCCTTAAGATAAGAAAATCATGATACTTGGGAAAAATATATTTGCAAACAGAAAAGATTTACAGATTTAAATCGATAAATTTACAGATCGATGCTTAATACAAATATATCGATATATGTACGTTTGTCTTCGACGATTTGCTCTGATTTATAAAAAATAATTTCAATACGTACAAAGGTAATACAGAAGAATTACCCAATTACATTATAGAATTTTACGAACACGATAAGTAGAATGAAGTATTTATTTCATATGTACAGATGTTATAATAAAATTAAAGTTCTTAAAATAACCGACTTTTTTTTGTCCCCCACTTAATTTTAACTATAGACATTCATTTAAAAAAAATTTCGTTTCAAAAACTAAATTAATTGCATTAGTAGTTAGAGATCTCTCGAGCTAGTTGTTTAGCTTATAAAAGTATAAAAAGATTACATTCGAAATTCTAGCATATATTTTAAGTTAAATAGATATTAAAAAATAATGAATTTTCAATTTTCTCTAAATGTAAGAATAAAACATTATTTAACTTAATTTTTTGTTTTATTGTACGATGCGTTGTTTTCTTCCTCCTCTTTTTTTCATTCTGAATTTTATTTATTATATAAGTAAAAACAGCCTAAGAAATTTAAATATAAAACATTTATCATATATAAATCTTATATAAAATGAGAGATAATAATATACACACACATATAGACATATATGTATATTAGAAATATGTAGAAAAATGGAAAAATTTCAATACAATATATATGTAACTTTATATAAGTAAATCATCAAATGTGAGTTTCAGGAAACACATGCAATTATTAAAAAATTTGTATTAGATTAAAAAAAAATAAGATCATAAGTTAAATAAATTACAAAAATGCTGTATTTAAGATTATTAAATAATTAGTACAAAAAGTTAATAAAATACGATCAGTAAAAGTAAATTTCATTTTATGTTTACGTTTTATATGTATAGTCCCAAATAACTGCGCAATTTGTATATAATATACAAAATTATTACTTTTATTGTATATATGTTGAAAAAATAAAAGCAAATACAATCTCGTATAGTTAGTTCATATATAATTATATAATTGTCAATTCATATGTAAACCTATATAATATTGTCACACTACATCTGTCCACACTGAGATATTGTCACAGGAATCTTTGGTTTATTATTTGGTCCAGTAGGAACATTTTCTACCTTCCTCATGACAAGAAGACCATCAATAACTCTACCAAAGACAACGTGCTTGCCATCTAAAAAATTACACTTGGCACACGTGATGAAGAACTGACAGCCGTTGGTGTCCTTGCCACTGTTCGCCATAGACAACAGACCAGGTGAGTCGTGCTTCAACGTGAAGTTCTCATCAGGGAATGTTCCACCGCTGTAAATGCTCAACACCCCGGTGCCATCGCCGTTGACAAAGTCACCACCTTGTATCATAAAATCCTTGATCACTCTGTGGAAGATGGCACCTTTGAAGCCCAGTGGAACGCCGTCCTTTCTGTATTCCCCAGTACAGAACTGTCGGAAATTCTCTGACGTTTTCGGGCAGACATCTTCAAATAGCTCGAAGATCATGCGACCTATCTCCGTGGTCCCCACTGATACGTCGAAGAACACGACTGGGTTATTAGGGTTTCGCAGCTGAGCCTGAATCTGGTTCCAAGTAGGCATGATTACTCACGGTGCTCTTATCTCGAACTTATTGTGGACACTTGCAGCAGAATTCTTGAAAAGCTTTAAAACATGGACGAGTACTTTAGAGAGAAACGTCTTTCCTATCTGTGAAGGAACGATGCAAACAAATATAACCTCAAATGCTGTTATAGGTTAGGTTTCCTCCGGAATGATCCTGCGGTGCACAATTCGCACAAAACGGCTAATACTGGTATTCTAAAGCAACGCCAAGAGCGAAGGACCAGCTTTGAGCTACGATTCACACTACTATCGAAATATTTGAACGTAAATATACCTTTCAGCGATCTTCGTGATACCACGAGATCGGCGATATCACGGTACGACGAGAGGAGGTTAGCGTTCTGCGATACGTTAATTTCCTGAATAAATGGAGTAAAGTCACTCGCTGCGTGACACACGTCTTATATTATTGCTGAATGATTACTAATTTGAATGTAAACGGCACGAACACCAGACACGTGATAAACATGCGTCGCAGTGGTGCTCATTTCGATCGACTTACCTTGCTCGGCGATGAATCTTAGCGACAGAGAGATTTCAGATATACATCCGAAATGACGAAGTGTTTCACTATTCTTTGAAATATCCTCGCGCCAACTCGGAATGACACTCGCCGAGAAACTTCAAATTAAGAAGCACAACGCGGCACTGCCGTTCGTGAGAAAATACCGCGCTAATTATGATTTACGCATGTGCGTATTATTAGGACTGGCAAGATCACGTGACTGTACGCGCGAATTTCATTCTCCACCTATAGCCGTGAAAATAAACACTGATGAATCTAGAATGTGCTCGAATGGGAGGCTCTTCCGCATCCAGCGTATTCTCTAGACTTGGCACCAAGCGATTATCATCTGTTCCGCTCGATGCAACACGCTCTGAAAGATACACACTTCCATAAATTATAGCGAAGTCGAAAATTGGGTCACTGAATGGATTGACTCAAAAGACATAGTGATCACTTTTGCTTTAACATTCAATAACTCGGTGAAAAAAAATCGTACAACGTAAAAAAGATATATATTAAAGGTAAAGATTCACTCTTTCGATTGCTGCAAACCGCATTTTCGTGTAATTTTTACCTCACACCATATAGAACTTTGTAAAGTTTGTGAACATTTTTTAGATTTGACGGATATTTATTTATGTTCATATAACTCCGTAAAATATCAGTCATATTGAAATTTTAATTATAGATTTCGAAAAAGTAGATATTTTAACCTTTAAAATACTTTTTTAATTTTTTGTCTGCGATGATTTTTTATCGAGTTACGGCGTTTTGAATATTAGCCAGTTTTTAGCTTATTCAAAAGAAATAATATTGTTTAATATTCATATATAGTATATTATATATACCAATATTTCTTTTCGCATTTCGTTACGTTATAATTCTGTAAAATATTTTTACTATATCATTTTTCTGTCATGGAAAATTGCGACATCACCACACCTTCAAAAAAGGTCATCAGAAAATCTTTTTCGTCATACAATATATTGATAACTAAATTATAATTAATAATAATAAGTTGAAATAATACAGAAGACAAATCAATTTAAATTTTAATGAATGCGTAATCCTTTATAAATGAGAAATTAATATTTTTTTAATTGATAGAAAATACTTAATAAGTTCTATTAACTTATATATAATAAGTATTATACATAAAACACTTTATCGAAGTTATCAGCTTTAATTTTTGAGTCCACACATTATATCATAAATAAAGAGTATCAAATAAATATCTTGGGACTTAGAGAGAGAGAGAGAGAGAGTATAAAGACATAACATTGCAAGGATACTATTATGTTGATAAACATTTCACTCTTTAATAATACATACAAATAAAAATTCCACTATAATAAAACAATCTAATCTAGATCATCTTTGTGATTATTTTGTCGCTCAATACTTATTGGTTTATATATATGTATAATAGTATAATATATATGTCATGTATATAATTTATTCTTGAATATTTTACAGTGTAATTTTCGTAAAATTTTCATAGGATCAGCACCAATTATTTCTGAAGTTTCTATAAAAAGTTCAAAACACGTTTGTAGCTCGTGCGGAAAGAATTAATTCAAATTACCAGCGGATCCGAAAACAATGACGAAAACGCTGCAGTCAGCACTGGGACCATTATTTATTATTGGTTCGTTCTGCTGTTTGGTCTTGTTTGAATATCCTCTTGGACGACCCAGGCCGTATTTCTCTTATCTGTACATCTTCGTCGTATGGAGCAGTATTTTATACAACATCTACGTTCCAGTATACCTCCAAAAATTGAAGCTTATGAAAGTATATTTAACAGATATCTCTGATTTGGTCGCCATTTTATCGATTTTTATCAGCTTATATCATTGTAAGGTAAAATTTCTGAAATATTTTTCCCAATTACTTGTACAATCTCATATTGATCAGACGAGAAACATATCTCGAGAAAGTATTTTTTCACCGTAATGGTCGATCAAGATTTGTGAAAACAGTCGCTCTCTAACATTCGATCCACGTATGTTGACAATCTACCAGAAATTAGTGCTATCCAGTAGATTTGTAACTATTCTGAGAACTTTAAAGTTTCACGTTTCGCACGTTTCGGAGATTTCGCCGCTGATTCCGCAGAAATGTTAGTAAATGTATAACTCGGTCTCGTGTCCGCGAGAAGTGAGATTACTATAGTCTCGAGAATTGTGACGATCGAATAACCTGCATTATTCAACATAATTAAACAAGTTTGACTGCCTTTCGATGTATCACTATCGCTTGAAGTCCATTCTGTCTACTATACATATCTCTAAATTACTTCATTCATTTCGCGCTTTGACTGACAATCAGAGAAATCGGTACAAAACTCAAAGTTGAAATGTGAACAAATCAATTAAAGTAGACCTTCGAAAATTTTAAATGACAAGAATATAAAGGCTAATGAAAGCAATTCGCTGTTATTGGTGCGATCATATATAAGATATGTTATAGTGTGAATTTATATACCACGTATGTAGTTCCCTCAAACGCGTGCCGAAAATCCTTCAGACTTACAACGCTTAAAATGAATTTTAATGTCAATATCATATTATATTGTCAAGAACATCAATCTTCTATTTTATCTTCGTAATAAATTTTTTTAAAAATTTGACATATAAAATTAGTTCTAATTTTTTACTCTTATGCCCTTTATTCATTTTTAAATGTATGTATGCATTAAAATAATAATTTTTATTCAAGCATAAAATTATGATATACTTTCTATTTTATATATATCGCATAATCAATCAATATTATTTTTTAAAGGAATTGAAAATATATTTACATGAACTCTCCATAGTAAACAACACATTAAAAACGCTCGGTGCTCGAAATGAATATCAACAGCTGCGTAACTGGTTAATTCGAATAATAATTGGATGTATTGTATATGTTTTATGTGATATGGCAACGAACCAATATATTTTTTATATTTTATATGGGTTTAGCCTAAATATTTTTGAACACGGTATTCTAGTACTTGGAGTAATGTTTAGTAAATATGTAGATATCTCAAGTGCACTGATTTGTGAAACTGTTCTTGGGTTAGTATAAATTACAAACATTCACTTACAATTAGTAAGCTATTGTTTATTGACATTTTGTGAGACAAAATGTTGATAGAGTAAGAAGACTTTTTTAAAGTTATTTAAATATTTTTTCCTCACGTAAGATAATATGTTGACAGAGTGAACATTTGAAGATCTTTTTAAAGTTATTTAAATATTTTAAAATGCTTTATATAATTTTAAATAATATTTTATCAGTATAATTGCTATTGTAAAAGATAATATATTATAAGATAATCTAAATAGAAAAAAAAAAATTTATTTTGTTATAAATGAGACAAATATATGTAAAATGTGAGAAAATGTATAAAACAAATAACAAAATTTTAATTTAGTTTGACATTTAATATTTCTTAACGCAAAATACATGTATATGTATAATGCATTTTAATTTTACTGAAAAGCATAACTAAATCCCTTTCCTTTAATTCAGATACACATGCTCCAGATTTCATCAAGTCAATGATCGTTTACACGTACTTTATTGCGATCTTTTCGAAAATAACGCAGATTATAGATATAGAAAACAAAACAAATCCATTTTAATCCAAGAACGTATAACAGGAGCTAAGTATCGCAAGCAATCTATATGGATTATAATGTAATTTTTTAAAAAAATTTCTGTTTACACAAATACGCAGGGAATGGAAAGTTACTTTTTAAAAGTAACTAGTTACAGTTACTCGTTACCGAGTAAAAAATGTAACTAGTTACAGTTACAGTTATCGCTTTTTAAAAGTAACTCGTTACAGTTACCGTTACTTGAAAAATAACTTTTCGTTACTTTTCCGTTACTTTTTTAAAATCAATTTAAAAATGTACTTTTGCATTTTTTTTTATATGTAATACTGACAAATATATATATAGTTTTATTAAAAAAAAAAACAATGTAGAATGGCTCAAATAATAAATTAAATAAAAGTAAAATGAGAAGGGTTACGAGCCAAAAATGAAACAGTTTATTTCCGATAAGAACGACGATGACAATGTAATTAAATGTATAAATATATATTAGAACAACAACATGGATAAAACAAGATAAAAACAAACGACGTTTCCACACTTATTGTCATCGTCTTTTAAACTGTTTCGCTTTTGGGTTCGTAGCCATTCTCATTTTACTATTATTTAATTTATTTTTTAATTTTTTTTAAACACAATTTTGTAATTCTAAAACCTGTAAAATATGCAGCAAACTGAAATATTTGTATGTCCTATGTATTACATAGAAGATAGAAGTGTAAAATAATTACTGAATCATAATGCCGAATGTCTAAGGGCTTTCAAGTCTTATTGATAAGCGCTATAAATAGCATGTATCCAATCGAACCGTGTTCAATCGTGTGCAAAGTAACGACAAAAGTAACTGTAAATTTCGTTACCGTTACCCAAAAAATGTAACTCGTTACCGTTACAGTTACCAAAAAAAGAAAGTAACGCAGTTACCAGTAAAGTTACCAAAAAAGTAACTTGTAACTGTAACTTCGTTACAAGTAACGAGTTACTTCCATTCCCTGCAAATACGCATATAATGTATGCATACAAGGATCCTCATTTTCAATTTCGTAATATTTGAAAAAGTATAAATGATAAAAAGATGTGTGTGTGTGTTTTTGAACGTGCAACTGTCGAGGAGGAAACGTACCTACCTTGATCACATTTTGTAGATAGAGGCGCCAAATAGATGATTTTCACTCGTTTTAACAAAATTATATGATTCCTTAGACAATGTTTTCTCCAGTTATTCCGTATATATAAATAATAAGGTGTAATATAAAAAAGTAAGACA